CAAGATTAGAGACAGAAATAAAGAAATCCACTTTAATGTTCTTTAAATAGAAACATAAGAATAAGTTAATTAATAATTACCATTGCAGGATCCAACAGAACTTGCTCCAAATCCAATCCAAACTTTGCCAACTAAACAATTAATTTTTTATTGCGTCAGAAGAGAGTTAAGAATTGTTCACTTTCAATTGCCAGAAAAGTTAATTAACATGCTCCCTCTGCCAAATGCCATCTTAATTAACAAAAAGGAAACAATGAAGAACGTACCATACCATACCATCCCACATGACACAAAGTAGTAGTTGTTGGTGTTTCCATTCACTTCTAGGTACTCAGCTTCATTCCTTAATTGTCCTTTTCCTATGACACCCTTTTTCTTTTTTTTCTTTTTTCTTTTATTCTTGGGGCTTCTTCTTCAACTATGCCTATTGAATTGACTTATCCTCCTCTCTCTATGCACCAAAAAAAGTTTTGTCCTATGCGTGTTGCATTACTACAATAATATAGTGCACATCATTATCCATGTTAAGTAGAATAAAGCTCAAAATTCTTTGTGTCACCATCTCACTCTAGATGTTCGGATCTTGCCCTTAGGCACCAATGGATTGTCGGCAAAAAAATTTCCAAGTCATTGATCAATCACAATTCACTCACCATTTGATCTTGATTTGCTTTGCACAAATTCTCAAGTTTGATATCAAAGTGGGTATGAAATTCATCTTATTGAGTTTTTAACCAAATTTGACAATAAGAATAAGCAGCCCGTGTAATTAATTTCTTCCTTTGCTATGTTGTCAAGCAATTCCGTGCTTGATTCTTAAGTATGTGGAAAGGTTAATTTCTCAAAGCTAATTACCAAGTCTTCCTTGAAATAAATACAGTTAGGTGTGATGAATAATAATTACTACATGATTGTTCAATAAGATTGAATATTATTGATCAATATGGTTATTGATGTACCAATAATTATCATTTGGAGGTGTATAGTATTAAAAAAAAAAAATTTAAAAATCTCTTGGTCATTAAGAACTTATAAATTACATATAATTAATAAAAATTTACCCAATCCAACACAAAAAAGTACAGAAATATATATATATATATATATATGATGATTATTTATTGTAAGTAAAACTAACAAAATTGTTATTATATAATTCATATAATAAACTGATAGGTATGAATAAATATAAAATAGAGTTATATAAAGTCCATCACTCTAAGTTAACTTATTTTTTCTTAATAACCTTTGAATATTTTGGTTTATTAATGATATAGCATTATCAATTTTCTTTGATGTGGAAAGTCTACTTTCACATGATTTGAGTAAATTGAGTTTAACAAGTCCAAGATAGTATGGGACAAAATGAATAGACTAATTAAATAATCTAAAGTAGAGATTTTGGGTGCAGTCTGCAGTCATCAGCACAGTGGCTCCAAGTGTCATGAATGGAAGATTATTGTGAAACACTGAAACCTAGTACCTTGCACAATTAAAGTTGCATGCATGGCTGAACCATGTTTGACCCAATTGATGAGTGTTGGAAACATAATGGTACAAGTTGAATGTGTTTGGCCTGCTTGGTTTTGGGAAGGGTCTAGACTTGTAGGATAATTCCCACACGGAATTCTCTCTACTGGCCACTGGGAACTGTTTTTGACTTTTATTCTCCTTTAAAATAAAGGTTGTCCCATAACATATTTTACCTCTTTAATCTTTTGCCTTAATTGTATGTTTTTTCTTCACATAACCTTTGTATTTTAGAGTGTACTCGGTAGAGAAAATAATTCACATCCAGAAATTATGATTCCAAAGAATAATGCTCAGAAGAGGATTTTTTTTTATGCTCAATAATCATGATTATTAAGATTTTAAAAAATGATTAAAACTAAAATTTGTTTAACTCGTCATAAACATTTTTAAATATTTTTTTAACGTTTAAGTTTAATCAAAAACTTAAATTTTTATCTCAATAATTTTTTTTTCAATCTCAGTTTTCTTACAGAAATGAAAAAATTCTCTAACAATTAATACATGTTTCATGTAAATATTATTTCTTAAACAATAAATTAAATATAGGAAGAAGATATTCTCAATTTTAAATTCCTAAAAATCTAAAAAACTTGTTTTTTTTTCTTTTTGTACTAAATGCCTTTTTATATGGGTTATTTATGTTGAAACTTGTTTTATTATTTTAAATTATACATGATTTAAGTACTTAATTTTTTTCGATATTTTTTTTAATTATTAAGCAATTCGTTAACATTTTTTCCTTGATGTCAAATTTTTTTGTTCAAGAAGAAAAATTTTAGAAATTAAATCAAATAAAATTTGTCAATTAAATAAAGTTTAGAAACTAAAAATATATTTAATCCTATTATTTATATTAGTGAGAAGCTGATTTACATACTTATTTCACATATAAGTCAACGATTTATAGCATAATAATTATGTACTTTGCATTTACAGGGGATCAATTTATTATAAAATCCGTTTATGATACTACTATTTACGAAACTCGTTAAGTCATTGATAGTCATAATATTAAAAGTGAAATTAGTCTAATAAGGCAAAAAAAAAAACTTATTCAACATGTACTCAATGTCAATTAATTTTCAAGGTTAAATCAAATTTGCTATTTTTCAATGATTTTAAATTTAAGCATCTTTTAAGATTATGACATTAAGATGTAATTAATATTTTTGTTTTATTAAAACTATTATCTAACTTTTATTATACCATCCTCCATTTTACTGTTTAATTATTATATTTCTCTTTATTTTCATGATAAATGTGTGAAATATTAATTTAAAAAATAGTTAAAATTAAAGATATAATTGATAAAGTAATAATAATTAACATCGTCTTAAACTTTGAAAAACTGACACATACAAAAAAATAGTACTAAATAAACGGTCTCAATAAAATAATGTTACCATTGTGTTTCCTCAATCATTAATCGCATATTTGTATTAATCTAATGTTGCAAAATCATCATATTTAATAATAATATATTTAATTTATTTATTGATAACAAAGCAAAAAGGGGATGTAGCTCAGATGGTAGAGCGCTCGCTTAGCATGCGAGAGGTACGGGGATCGATACCCCGCATCTCCATTTTTTTATTTTCCTTTCTTTTAGACTATATATTCTCATTTTGAATAGCATCATTTTCTGTCCAATGCTTTGGTAAAAAAGAAAAAAAGTTACATTCCTTTTGCCCTTAACTCTTCCTCTCATTTGACATGAAACAGCTGATTTCTCTCTATCTGAATCATTGACAAGACATTAAATGTGTCATAAAAAGTTTAAGGCTTACACGAAACTATGTTCAATTAATGTCATTTACATGTTTGGGAAAAATGTCTCTAGGACAGTTATATTTCATAAATCACACATCCATAAACTGTGTTTTGGGCCAGCATGGGACACTTCTCATAAAAAAAGTTTTAAGTTGTTTTTGCTGTATAATTGCTAGATTGCCTACTATTTCTCGAACAAGTGCCTACATAAGAGATGAAATTTCACTCTCCTTTTAAGTCTTTTGTGGCATGTGTTAGTGGGAGTGGCTGTGTGCAAGTTCGTGGGTCCATGTGTCTTACGTTCTTACCCCATTTCGCTACACACGTCATATATCATTTCTCTAGCAGGTTTTTTTAATTTAGTTCATATCTATCTATAAGGTGCTTCACTATAATTATTTGAAGTTGCCAATACTATATTTTCTCATTCAATTCTTCTGACTTCCATTGAGTGTGATAGTTTCTTTTTTGTTAATTTGGTCCAACTTCTTGTGGATTAGAATTTAATTCAATTTAACAAAATCATATTTTCTCTCACATTTAGTATTATTGGATTTGGTGTATAAATAAATGACATATAACCTTTTTAATAAATCTTGAATAAATCATACTTTAGTTTTTTCTAATAAACTTTTTCACTCTAAAATCATTAAGTTTGGTGCGTGAATAAATGGTAAATGATTCTTTTTAATAGATCTAGTATAGGTAGGAGTTTTGCTCAATATACTATCTCACATGCAATATTATTAATATTATCTTGAAACCTAAATTTGGACTAATTTAATCTTACAAAATTAACTTATAACTTGAAACATTTTCTACTTATATACTTTTTTCTGGCCTTGTTTATGTGAAATTTGGTTTTTTCTTGATACAATTCTTCATCAAAGTTATTATTATCATATAATTTGTGAATAAGTTTGATTTAATGGACCATAGTGTTTGTCATGGTAATGAGGCTTTTTTGATGGCATAGTGTTTTTTATTCTTGTTTCCTTTGTTGTCACCTGTTATCAGACCACAATTTCAATGCTTAAGTGACCATCATAATGAATTATTGATCCGTGTTAATTGAGATGGAGGATGGCAGTGAGGAAATTGCATAACAGTTCAAAATCAAAAGATTTGGTAATATATTTACAAACAAAATAATGCTTCCTTAAGATTGCTTCTTGTTGTAGATATAACTTTACATAGACAGTGGATGAAACCAATTCATTAGATTATAACATGTGTCGTGTGGTGCGTAATCTTGTTCATTTTACAGGTAAAACAGCTGTCGGATTATAATTCCTTTAAACCTCATGAAGCACACTTTCAACCAACAATAAATATTTACAACTAACCCATTAACTCAAACATGAATGTCATTTGAAATATGTTTGCACAGTTGAGTTGTCATGATTAATATGTCATTGAACTTGAGAACGAGAAGTACAGTACCTACTTTATCCATTGTATCATGTTCTCAGCATGAATGATGAAACAAATGTTCATGTAACTTCAAGTACCTATGCTTTTATTACAGTGTTTTTAAGTGCTATTTGGGGATTGGTCTTCTTTACTGTTTTTCAGATAATTCTCACCAATTTGTGTTTCTAAACAAAGAAAACAAGACCCATTTTTCTTTTGACAAATTTTTAGATCAAGCATTCAAAGGGTATTCTTTGTTTCCTTGGTGTGTAACAGTAAGGACATTTTCAACTTTTTTTCTGTGTATTTTATCTGAAAACTTGTAACCCTCAATAGAAATTTATGCTGTGGTAGTTGAAGAGTGTGGAGATCAGGATTTTAGACATGATATTGCATTGGCCATTCCTCATATTCTTCCCAACTTTATAAGTAAAGTCCTTTCTTCGTTCTTTCAATAATCTCTGCCAATCAAATAACAATTAATAAACAGCTCTAATATTAAAAAAAAAAACACAAAAAGAAAAATCACTGCTTACCAAATTTTCTTTTTATTCCCTTCTTTTGCATAAATATGTTTTACATCATCACAAGGCCTTCTCATGTTGGGTCATATTAGTTGGAAACTTGAGTTATAACTTTGTTAAATGTTTGGTATCAATTTGCATACAAGTTGCTACTAGATTGTGACAAACTCTAGTAGCAGTACCTGTTATTCTCTTAAATTTACACTGCTTCTGCATTTGTTTAAGCCACATCCTTTCCCTGAGCAAGATCAGAACCGTGTTGGCTCTTCGGTATTCGTATTTCTAGATATGTGTCATTATGTATGTAAGCTTCTATGTTCTTCCAATCTGCATCCTCTGGCATCTCAAGCCTTCGTACATATCCATATTCCCACCAATGGCCACACCTCCAGTCATGTGCCTTTGAGTCTCTTTGCTGCTTCCACTGTCCACTAATTTCCACAACCTTCCCTTTATCAACATGGACTTGAATGTTACTTTTCCCAGTTCCTGCTTTGACAAACCACTGGTGTCACACAAATTTTGACTAGTTAAGCACTTATTTGAATCTATGGAAACTTGGCCCCATCCACTCCAACCAGCTCAAGTTCATTTAATTGGTTATTTGATTCAAAGATCCACTATACTATAGGTTATGGATTTAATATGCATACATTATCACTTATCAGGTATCAGTATTTACATTGTTAATCAATCAAAAATCATTCTTAGTATAATTTTTAAATTAATTACCGCAAAAATCAACAAATTTATTATATTGTTACATTATGAGTACATATATTTATTCATGAGTAAATTATACTGATATCCCTTGTAGTTTCATAAAATTGCCCTGACAATTATGTTTTTTCAAAGTTTATAGTAACCTCCATGAGAGGAGAATGATAATGTAATGTTTTTCAAATAATTAAGAGGTTAATATAATGTCTAAGGAGTGTTAGTGTAATAATTTTCAAACAATTAAAAGTGTTGTTGTAGGAATAGAAAAAGTAGAGATATTTGTGCAACTTCATGAAAGATAAGGAGTTTCGGTCATTATTCATTTGCTATTATCTGCTGTTACTATAACCTGGTAAAGAAAAAATTTATGCAAGGTAAAGGCTCTCCCTAGGTTCTTCAAGTTTAAAGAATAGCTCCTCCAATTCTGAGACCCTTTTTATTTTTTTTCAAGTTTTAGAATGATGGGGCTGTTTCATAATTTGTTTAACATAGATTCAGTTTACAAATAAGAGTAAAATGAAAAGCAATTGGTCTTACCTGGTATTTCTGCTTTTAATGTATAGCCTTCATCAGTCTCACTCCAATCCACAGGGTTTTGGCTGGAGCTCCTTAAATGAGATAACAACACATCTGACTCAAACTCCCAAAGAGGGAAGGCATCAGAAGGATCAAAGAACTTCCCAAACAACAGTGGACTGAAAAGTGATCCATCTCCAAAAACCTTATGCACTGTTGGATTAGTCTGGCTGAAGAATCTCTTGAAAGCCTCTTCTCCAAGTGAGACACACCATTTATGTGGAGTTTGATCTTCTGTTTGAACCTCAAGCTTCTTGTTAGAAGAGCTACTACTCATTGATTCTTAGGGAGACTGAACAATTGTGAGGCTCTGGTGTTAAGAGAGTTTTGTTGCCTTTCTCTTATAGTGTGAGAGAAGCTATCTGATGAAACACAGAACAAATTCCTTTGGCATATTTGGAGGCTGTAAAGCTATGAGGGAATATTTTCTTTTCTAAACTTTTTCTACTTTCTAAAGAGAAACCACGTCAGGCATTTGCGTATGGCATAAGGATATGTGGTATCCCTATGCATTTTGGTTGTCTAGCACAAGATGTGAAAAATATGGAAAGGGGTACCAATCAAGTCAAAGTCCTATGACAAGTGATAGGTGCTCTAGCAGAATTTCAGGACCCTTATAGGAGTGGTTTGGCTTAATTATGTGCATTATGATAAATAATGTTTGTGCAACTCTAGTCATTCCTTTATAATGGCTACTGATTTAATTACTCACCACTGGATTATTGGTTCAACTCATGTTAAAGGAGAAAACACTCAGTTGTTTCCTAAATCTAGAAGACGAGAATGTTATATTATTAGTCTGGAACTCAATAAAATTTGTGACTCAAATGATAATATTAATATATATTAAAAACTAAATTGATAGTAAGAAGTTAAATTTAAAGATTTATTTATTATTTAAGTTTGAATTACCAATTTTTCGAAATTCAGAAACGAAGTGGATGTTACTAATCATTTGTTTTTGTCAACTTTTTAAGAGAACTTTAAATAAACTAATTGATTATCTTTTCGAGAGAAAAAGTTGTTCAGAAATATTCAATATCTTCACTCTCTTTCTGCCTGTTACACGCAAATCAGATGATTATAAGAGATTCAACCTTCTTGATCTATCTTCTAATATAGACTATATTAGAGTTTGCCAATCACTGGACTAGACTAATTTAGTGGGGCAGGATTTGTTCTATACAATGAATCATGAGTCTTTATGTAGATTTGATGTCTTGTATAACTCCAATTCAAGATTACCGTTTTCACAGACTAAGCACCGACAAGCATCAATTTTCTTACTCTTTTTCTCTGCCAAGATACTTTCCAACTGCCTTATTTAACTGTTTGTCACATGCCAGGCATGGAGAATTGATGCTTTCTTGTTGTAGATTGCTTGCATATCATAAAATGAAGATCAAGTTTTAACAAGAACATCATATTGCTTGAGTCACGTAGGGAAGTGGTAGCAATTTTGCGATGGCAACAACAGTTCATCAAAAAGTTAAATTTTTCCAAAGAGTGGTAAATTGTTACTAATCTCTTCATAAAATTTTATACTGCCCCATTGATATTGCACTTTGTGGATCTATGTCAAGTCCCCCTCCTCAATTATAAACTATGAAATAGTAATATTCAACCTTTTAATCTTCTCAAAAGAAAATAAGTCCCTTCTGTTGCATGGGCCACCAATGCCACAATTAAATAACTAATTTTGTAGCTGGCTTTTCATTTATCAGCTAAATCCGTGGCATTAACTTCAAATTCTTCATGACGTGCGTCTCCAGTCTCCACAGGGAAAAGCTGTGTGAAAGGAATCTTGTTTGCTGCATGCCTATTGCCTAGGAAGGAATGGATGTCTACTGTCTTGATGCACATCTTCAATCTATATGACATGTGTACATCATCTATCAATGCAAATGATAAGTTATTCATTCAAATAGCTCTATCAAAAATTATTTTTAATCTTAAAATATATATATATAAGGAATAACTTTTATCAACTATTATACCACTTAATAACTTTCAATTTAAAGTAAAACATCATATATACAAAATTTTATATTAATTTGATACATTATTTTTATAAGAAAAAAATTAGTGTAATATATACGTTTAAATATACTAAAATATCAAAATACTTCAATTAGTTTTAAATTATTTTTTAATTTTAATAAAATTTGATATATAGATGCAAGATAATATTAAATTGAAAATTATTAAACAATGTAAGTAAAATTTATACGGGAGTAGTTTTGAATATTATTTTTTATGAAGATGACATTGAGCTTTTGAGTGGTGGCAATGAGACTTAAGGCATTGCTAATCATTCATGGAGTAGCTTTTTTTTGGCAAAGGTAGGGTTAGAATCAACTTGATTGGTGTTAGAATTTGTAGCACATCAAATAGTGAGGCTGTGGGTCCTTTTACATGAAGGGTGGTGATGATAATATTTGCATTCATGTATTTAAAACACTATACTCAAGCAGAATAATTTTTTCAGTTTTTCTTGAACCAGAGCATATTTAAATAATGACAAAAACAATGTCCTTATTATTTTGTAACAATTATACTCACTTATTATTGTTTATCTTATATTCAAATTTCATGAATATTCTGAACCACAATTCTAATTATATTTATATTTTCACAAAGAATAAAAATATGTCAAAAGTAGAGAAAATCTGGCCAAAAAGGCTTTTACAGAAAAATTATTACCAAAAGTTATTATTTTTTTTTATAGAAAATATTGTTTTTATATCAATTCGTATTTTTTAAAATTTAATTTATAATTATGCAATGAACAAAAATCAATTATTCTTTTTAAATTTATTTTAACAAAAAAATATTCTTTTTTAAATGTATTGTGACAATATAAATTATTTTTTTACATCAATCGGTAATTATTTATCATTAAATTTATAGTTATGCATAACATTTCTAAAAATCATATCAATATGTATGATTTAATTTATAATTTATGCATTGTTGTAAATAATTTGTCCTTATTTGTTTTGCTTTATTTTTTTCTCACTTATTTGAATTCATGCATAATTATTTAAATTTGCATTGAATTAGGCGTTATATGTATCCAATTGTCAAAATATAATAATCACTTTTTTTACACCTATACAATAATCACTTTAATTGTCATTTGAAATCCAAAATGAATATACCTATAATGTTACAATGAGTGATTTATAGCCAAAAAATAGAGAGGTGACAAATAATCTTTGATTTTACAATGGCTCATAATTTTCATGTAACTTTCATAAAATTAGAAAATTGCGAGGAAAAAATATTTGCAAAAAAAAATGAAGAAAAAAAAAAGGAGAAGAGAGAGAAAAAAAAAAAGAAACATAAAAAAGAAAGCTTGTGTTCGAGAGCAGGTGCCAATGTCCTAATCCAGAAGAATTGATAGGACGGCCCTTTGCGCGTAGGGTTTCTCGCGCCAAGAAATTTTCCGTCATCGCATCATAACACAAAAAAGTCATTCACCAACTTCATCACTACCACTTATTGTTATTACCATTGGAAAACATTCTCAAATTCTCCACTATTTCATCATCAACACCAACATGGTCTATTTGTATTGATCTAATAACATTTTTTTTTGGTTGCTTTCCTCAGATCCTTATCATCACATGCAGAAAACAGAAACCACCTTTTATTAAATCTTCCCTTGAAGCTTTTCGTTTGTATTTTTGTTGGATTTCAATCAATCATGTGCCTAAGATCTGTTTTAGGATGTTATTAAAATTGATCTTTTGCAATTGTTGTTATTATGATTATTATTATTCTTTATTGAATACCATCCAATTTAGTGACAAATTGGACATTTCAGAGAAGGGGGAGAAATTGTTTTTTGCTTTGATTTATTATGTGTGACCCCAGAATTGTGAAAATTATTACATATTTGGTGGGTATTGTATCAATAAGCCAGTGATAGCGATAATCTGCAAAGGAATACAACTGGGTTGGCAATTGTATAATGAAAAATGGTGTTGATGAAGGCAATGTAAACCTTCATGCTTGTTGGATTTAGGCCTTGGCGTAATATAAAGCACGTGAAGCCCTTTGGAATGACAATTCAACAATATATGGGTATCATAAAGGTTATCTTTTGCATCATTTTGACTTTTAATATTATGACAGTAGTCAGCATTGAAGAGAAGCAAACTCAAGAAAAATTCATTAGCCAACTATTTGATCCAACATCTGAACTATTAACTGAGGACACGGTAAGACTCACTTCATCATTCATTTGTGTACAATCAGTTTTTAAGTTTAAATAACTCCATTATTTTACCTTCACCTCTTCCAAAAAATAAAAGAAACAAGAGTGAAAAATATAACAACTTTGAGATTTTAAGATGATAAATTTCCATGAGTATAACAGTTTTGTGTCTTTTCTATATGAGATTCATTAATCATTAAATAATGTAGGTTTCACTTTTATTTGATGTTTCTTATTTATAATTTAATGAAACACACAAATTTCACTAGAAAATAAATAGTTAATTTTATAGTATATTACTAGCACTCTTTATTTGTTTTAGTCATGATTGTCTTAACTTGACAGTAGATTTATTTGTCAATCTCAAACAAGTTATTATACCTAATAAATGGTTGGGTTCCTATCTACCCTTCTTTATCCTACAATTTATATTCAATTTATTCTCTTACTAAACTGTCGATATCAATGGAAGTTGTCATGGTTAATTAGTAAACACATGATTCCTTAATCCAGTGAAAAATAAAAAGTGACCCTTAGAATAATATCAATCAATGATATTGAAGAACTAGAGATTATCTTATGGATTTACACTTCATCTTATTCAATTGTATCACATTTTTCTTATCAACCTATCTATCCAATAAAGTCTAGTTAACACTTTTAGATACAATTTTAAGCATCATGGTGACTACAATAGGGTCTTATTTATATAATTGCGTGTTTAATTTAATTAGGATTTGATATTGAACTTGTATACTACCCATTTTTTATGGTCATTATTTCAGTTTTTATATTTTGTAGAATTTAGTCTTCCGAAGTGCCTTAAAGATCATCAAAGGTCATTCAAATACAAAATTTTAGCATAGGACACTAACAAGAGTTTTATGCGAACTCTTTGGGATTATTGTTAAATACATACTTCTATGAGATTTGTAAAAATGGTATACATACTTGACCTAAAAAGATGTTATAATTTAAGAATACATGTGTTTTACTTCAATTCGATTTTGATTTGAAATTTAGTAAATGCCTATAAGATATATAAATAAGTATGCGTTCAATATTTTAAGAAAAAGTTCCAAAATTTACTCTTACAATAATTGTTAAGATCATATGGTACTAAATGACAATGCTTTAATCATATAATCATATTAGTCAAATTTGAAAGCATATAATGGTTACCATTTATGCTTCATTGCTGTTAAGAATTGATGAATGGAGTCTAAAATTGGTTATGGTTTCACAACTACAGGCAAAGGTACTATGGATCACTTGTTGGGAAGATTTGATACATTTAAAGAAAGAAGTTGGAGGTCTTGATTTATGTCTCCCAAATGAATCATATAGAAGCACCCATGAAGTTGGCTCAATAGCTAGAGAAAACATCCAAAAATTGATTAATACCTGTTATCCTCAGTTAAAGGAAAATGTTCTTCATTGTTTGAGAAGAAATAATTTTCAATTCAATGTTCCTAAGGAAGAAGATGACTCCAAGATTTGGCATGCCACTTACATGGGATCACTTTCTCCTAGAAGATATTTGGGTGCTAAGGATAAACAACAATCTTCTGGTTCTGAGGAAACATCTGGTGCTCCTATGGGTATAATTATACCGGTTGCAGTTTTAGGTGTAGTAGTGATCATCTTTTGTTGTTATCGATTATGTGGGAGTGGTCAAGTTAGTCAAAATGATGAAAGACCCCTTCTCAGCATGAGCATGAGTGACTATTCAGTTGGTACATACAAAAAATTTCAATCTCTAATACCCTGTTAATGTTGACATACATATATCTACATGCACTAGTCTTGACAAAATGTATTTCAATAATCCTACAGGTTCTTCCAATAACTTGTACAAAAATTCAATGAAAGAGGAGAAATTTGAGTTTCAATTATCAAGTAATGCATTGGTTGATGACAAGAACTCAGTGCCAGAAGTTCAGTCAGCAAGAGTTTCTAGTGCTGCTGCAAGACCATCATTTGACTTGAAACCTCCTCCTGGTAGAGTGGCAAATGGAGTGCTTCCTTTGAAACCACCTCCTGGAAGGCCTGATCTTCTTCCACCTGAGCCACTTTCTATTAAGTCTTGTGATGATTCTGTTGTTCCTCCTCCTCCTCCTCCTCCACCACCACCAACGCCACCACCACCACCACCACCAAAGCCTCAAAGTGGTGGTCCTCCACCTCCTCCACCTCCTAGTCGTGGTCCTCCACCTCCTCCACCTCCTAGTCGTGGTGGCCCTCGACCTCCTCCACCTCCTGGAAATGGCCCTAGACCTCCTCCTCCTCCTCCACTTAAAGGCAAGCCCGGTGGTCCTCGGCCTCCACCACCTCCCAGAGCTGGTGGAGCTCCTTCAAAAGCTCTTCCCCCATTTGGTCCAAAGGCTCCTAAGACTCAAGGGGAAGTTGGACCCACTTTTGAAGCTGAATCTTATCCTCCTAAAACTAAGCTAAAGCCTTTCTTCTGGGATAAGGTTCAAGCTAACTCAGATCAAACAATGGTCTGGAATCAACTCAAAGCAGGATCATTCCAGTAATTCATATATATATCTTAAACTTCTTACATTGTTCTTCAAGAATATATATTATGTCATTGATTGTTGATACCCTTAATGGTGAATATTTTGATAGGTTTAATGAAGAAATGATGGAGACACTTTTTGGCTATACTGCTACAACTAATGATAAAGGCAAAGGCCAACTAAAAAAAGATGTTGCCACCCAAGCAGCTGCACCTCAATATATACAGATCATTGACTCTAAGAAATCACAAAACTTATCTATTCTATTAAAAGCACTAAATGTGACGACAGAAGAAGTTTGTGATGCACTTCTTGAAGGTGGTTATTTGTTACTTCACATTCTCTTCTAACTATAATATTCTCTTCACACTTTTGTACCAAAAAATGTTTGTAACATCATATTTGTAGTTTCAGTATTCAGCAAAGGTGACAATATATAAAAAAATAAAAAATAAAAAATATTGTATTTTGTTCCTCTCGTATGATAACTTTGAATTCATTTTTGGTTGATCAGGAAATGAGCTCCCCACAGAATTCATTCAATCCATATTGAAGATGGCACCAACGTCAGAGGAAGAACTTAAGCTTAGACTTTTCACTGGTAATCTAGCCCAACTTGGTCCAGCAGATAGGTTCCTAAAGGCCTTAGTTGACATTCCATTTGCTTTCAAACGAATGGAATCACTACTTTACATGGGTACTCTTCATGAAGAACTCACTACTGCTCGAGATTCTTTTGCAATTTTAGAGGTATGATCTCCACATCACATCATTATTTTCCCCCCATTACTTGTGTGTAGCAATGTTTATACTCTTTATATCATAATTATCATTGCAGTGAACAAAATTTTAAACCAAACTTATAGTGAATCAAGATATTTGTGCAAATAAATTCCCGCTCTTTCACACGCATGCATTATCATGTAAACTTCTATATAAATTATATGAAGTTATTTAATGTTGTAAAATCAATTTATTTTTGCGCAAGTGACAATTTAATTCATGTATAAACTAGCATAAACAATTATGCATTATAACTAGCATCCTCATTTTTTTTCCTTAGTTTTTCTTAAATTATATTTTTTTTCAATATTATATTTATCAAAGTATTGATGTCTAATAAGTTATTTTGGGTATGACACTAAATTGATAGTTTAAAATCAAAAGGAACATTACGCATGAACTGGATTGCCAATGTATCATGATGATTATGGAATCTAGGATATGATTAAACTAATGGACAAAACAATCATAGAATGACTTGAGTGTTATTTCATCCTCATGTGACATGCTTCATTCTTAAAATCATAAAAGGTATATATTAAATTGTTAGAACTAAATTGACTAAGACATTTGTTATGTAAGTTAAAATTGTTGATGTATGTTATTTACAAACAAAATTTTCAGTCAAAATTGGTTGTAGTACATTTTAAGTTACCACATACGATTTCATTTGTATGCACACATTATCTCACTTTCATATACATACATGCATGAATTGATACAAAAGCTACATCATGTTATTCAATTCTGTAAGATCAATCTATTTTATTCATGTTGATGATAATTTAATTTTTAAAAACCAAAAATAGCTATGATATTATTGTTGGCATCCTATTATGTTCCACTTTTTGTTCTATCAATACCTCCTAGAAGCAAATAAAATTTTTCATGCTCCTTTCAATGTTGTTAGGTTGCTTGCAAAAAGTTAAGAAGCAGTCGATTGTTCCTCAAACTTCTTGAAGCTGTTCTTAAAACTGGCAATCGTATGAATGATGGGACATTTCGTGGTGGTGCACAAGCATTCAAACTTGATACATTGCTGAAATTATCCGATGTCAAAGGAGTGGACGGCAAGACTACTCTCTTACACTTTGTGGTTCAAGAAATCATGCGCACTGAGGGCATAAGAGCTGCACGCACGGCAAAAGAAAGTCTTAGTTTTTCTAGTGTGAAAACAGAAGACCTTCTTGAGGACGTTTCTATTGAATCAGAAGACCAATATCGTGAACTTGGTCTTCAAGTGCTTTCACGTTTAAGCAGTGAACTTGAGAATGTGAAGAAAGCAGCAGCAATAGATGCTGATGCCTTAATAGGAACAACTTCTAGACTAGGCCATGGTCTCGTAAAAACAAAAGACTTCATAAACAAAGACCTAAGCAACGTACAAGATGATAAAGGTTTTAATGAGACAGTGAAGAGTTTTGTGGAGAAAGCTGAGGGTGATGTCACAAGTTTGCTAGAAGAAGAGAAGAAAATCATGGCTTTAGTGAAGAGCACTGGTGATTACTTTCATGGAGATTCGGGGAAGGATGAAGGGTTGAGATTGTTTGTAATAGTACGTGATTTCTTAATAATGTTGGATAAGGTATGCAGGGAGATAAAAATTCCACCACCAAAGAAACCAGTGGTAAAAAATGTGAAACAAGAAACTTCTAATAATAATTCTAAACGTTCTTCTTCATCTGAATCTCATCTGCCTCCTCCTCCTGATATTCGTCAAAGAATTTTTCCAGCAGTCGTAAATAGGAGAACAGATGACTTTAGTTCAGATGATGAGAGTCCTTAGGTTTAAGTTGGAAGTGGTACTTGTAACTATTCTTTGACCATGCCTTTTCGAGCATGTCCTTGTATAGCATTGTTGTATTGTAGTCACAACTTGCTTATACTTGTCAAATTTTGAAGGAAATTACTATTGTCTTATTAATCATTGATCATGCAATTGTTAAGTCTCGGTTTTTATCCGGATTTCTTTTGTAGAGGGGTGGCTAGAGGCGTCTCTTCTAAAATGATTAAAGTGTCATGATATCGATGGTTGTCAAACTAAAAATGTAATGGAAAAATATAAATGACACAAAATATTGGATTATCAATTACAATTGAAAATAAATTTTAGTCATGATTTCACCATGAATGTTATTACATTTGTCATTTGTTATAGCAATTTTTAGTTTCCTTTCATATTTGTTTTTTTTTTATACCAAATATCAAGACTCAAATGTCATATGTAGAGACTTGATTGGAGTTAACTTTAACCAAAACAATTGATATTATTATCACAATTATTGGGCCTATTATCTCAAAGAAAGTCATATTTGAGGTCTTGAACTATAAAATTTTGATCTGATTAGTTTAATGAAAATGCAACAATGATGATTCCAAAGAAGTAAGGATGCGCATGGGTTTGATCTTTAAAAATCTAATCCATATCCATTCAAATGGTATGGATTTCAAATCCATAACTATATTTTAAAAAAATGTTTTGATTTTTTTAAACTCGCTATAAAACTAGTTTATGATTCAAAACCAATTCCTTTTATCTTAAAATCTTAAACCAAGGGTTTGTTTGGTAAAATTAACTTATAAATTGGTTGAAATCTTATAAATTATAAGTTAGGATCTAAAAAGTTAAAAGTTTGTAAGCTAAATGATTGTATTGAAAGTGTTTAATAAAATTAGTTGATAAAGCTAGCAGATTAATATAAAATGACATTTATTTATTTAATAGAGAAAGAGAGTAATATGGAAACAAAATAGTTTCTAAATTTAAAAAGGTAAAAAATGATTTTAAGTAAATTAGTGGTGATAAAAAAAAGGAAAGAAAAAAAAGTTAAGAGTTTATAAGTTATAAGTTTCTAAAATAAGCTCGCATACTAAACAAGTTTATTTTGTTTAGGAGAATTTATAAGTTAGTCAAAAAAACTTATAAACTCCTTAAATATCGTGCCAAACACATTCCAATTTTAAAAAGAAGTTTTCAACCATAACTACATTTTAAAATTGGATTTAAACCATATGTTGATTTCAAGTCCAAAACTTGTTTTAAATTTAGTTTTCAACCCCAAAGTCAGATTTAAAACTAACATAAAACAAATTTTTTTAAGTTTAAATATTTATTTAATCTCTATAATAAAATGAGTGATTTTGATTTTGATTCCTATAATATGTTTACTTTAAATTTTGAAATTATTGTTTTAGTCTGTAACACCCCCAAATTTTTCTAAAATTAATAAAGAATGTTTTAATTAATTAATTGAGTTTTATAGAATAATGTAGAGGCTTTTTAAATAATTATAGGTTTTTTTAGTTAATTAAAGAGAGCTTATGAAAATATAATATTATTTATATGAATTATTTTGGAGATCATGTATTTTAATTATATTTTATGATGGATAAAATAATGTTTTGATTATTAAAAATGAGGAAAACAATTTTAAAAAGGGGATTATGGCGATAACAAACCAATGTTTATGCTTCTCCAACTCACACTCTCTCTTTTTCTCTTTGACTCTAGAGCTTCATGGGGAGAACGTAAAGGTCATTAGAGTGAATCCTATAGATTATCATCCTTCGTCTAGCATCTATTAAGATAAAGCAGAGTGAGTTATCTCACTCTAGAGTATGGGATATATATTGGATAACAAAATTGGTCTTAATCCCTTTGTTTGTTCTTCTGTGCTTTGAAAGGAAACCTTGGGAACCCCCTATTTTACTTGTACTTGGAGTGATTGTAATTCATATGACTCTTTGGTTTCCTATTGAATGTTAATTGTGCTTTGTATGTGGTATTGATGCATGATTTAATTGTTTGGTTATCTAAGGGTTAGAGTTTATATATGAATTAGGGAGTTTTGCTTAGATTCATATATGTTGCTAGAATTGGAATAATTATTCAAAATTTGAGTGTTATAGAAGTGTTGTATAAGTGATTTTGTATTTGTTGTGCAAAAATAAAAAGAAGAGATCTAAGTTTCATACTCACCAATTGAGTACAATGCGATATAATGACTCTGTACTAATAGTATGGTCATGCTTGCTGGTGAGCATGCCCATGTTGGCTAGTGTTAAAGGTAACATGACTTTGCACTGCTAAATTTGAGGGAACAATGGTTGTGTTTAAGGAAACACGCTTGTGCAAGGTTGTTTTGAGTGAAGCACACTCGTGCTTATTTTGTGCATGCCCATGTACCCTTTTAAAATCCAAATTACCTTTTAAGGTCCTTATAAGAGTTCTAACCTTATATTTTAGCTTTCCAATTACTTTAGAATCATCTAAAAATGAGGCTTATAAGTCAGTATATGATCAAAAAAGTGAGTAAAAGTCAAGCTATCAAATTTAGGCTTAAAAGTTGGGATTTTGTATCTTTTTAAAATTGTAAATGGTAAAACCAACACTTGAGACCAATATAGAAGTTGTAAATAATTGTTTTAACTTTCTAATAAAATCAAGGCTGACTCTGGGGATCATTGAAGCTTTGGGTTCAAGTCCTCCGAGCCAAATATCTAGGGGAGTTTGTTTAGGCCATGTTAGGGAATAATGGGTATTTTATTCTAGCGTCTTTGAAAAAAGCCTTTAGAGAATTGCACCTAGGATTTCAATTGTAGATAGGGAATACAGAGTGCACCTTTTGGGTTGATCAACAGTTTGACAGATCTCAAATTTCCCTTGAGGTTCCTTTCATTAGATTCATGATGAGCTCTTTCAGCTAAGAGACATTTGGAGTGATGGGAGTTGGGATTTGTCTCAAGCCGAAACCCATATCCAGGCGATAATGAATATGCTCTATAGGTTGAATGTCTAACTGCATAGGGATCTAGAGGATGTTGTTTGGCATGATTTGGTTGGGTGCTACAATGCTAAGTTTGGGTACCAATGGTTGAGGATGGATGAAGAGGAGAGGGAGCAAGTTTCCTAGAGTTGGCTGTGGAAGTTACCTCTAGCAGAGAACGTTATTTTCTTCCTTTGGCAAATGTGTAGCGATGCCCTCCCAACAAGGGCTTTTCTAGTTTAGGACCACGTGATGAATAATCCTTTGCCTATGGTGTGGGGTGTAATGTGAAGATGTGACTCACATGGTTTTCACTTACGATGATTTATATCAAGCATGGTTGAAGTTGAAGTAGGTGAGCATTGTGCCACCGAGGGAGGAGGGTTGGTTGTTCTAACTTCATGATTGTTATTGAAGGTTTGGCTCTTTACCACTTATCTTGTGTTGGGTGATTTGGATTTCTCGTAATGATTTTGTGTTCAAAGCATAAGTCAAGAGCATGTGGGAAATAGTCTAGGAGGCAACTTCTTTTCATGTAGTCATGCAACATATGTACGAGGGTGTAACTCCCTTAAGAAAGGTAGTCCACATGCATTACAATTGTGGGGGATTAAGTCTCTTAGATATGGATGGTAGCTCCTTGTGCTAGCTGGGCCTAGTTGGAATTGAAGGAATCATTCGAGATTCAAATGGCAGGTGGATCTTAGGCCTCTACAGAGATACACGATGGGTAAATAATACCCAAGCAAAGTTGTTAATTATGTTCCAGGGTTTGAAAATAGCTTGGAGAAGGAGATTCTTGTCAATGGTTTGTCACTTTGACTCAATGTGTTATCTTTGATAAATCAATCTTATCCAATTTATTACATGTATGCAACTCTTATTGGTAGTATTAAGGAGTTGATGAAAAAACTTTGGAATATTGTTTTTAGGAATACTCTTTGAAAAGGTTATGCATATGTTGACTTGTTAACAAAGTTGGGTCCAAACTTTGGTATTGCGTTATTTGAGTTGGACGTTGTCCCATTGATTTGTACCACCAGCTTCTAACTGATCCAAGTAGGTTGTTATTTCTAAGATTATAATTTTCTTTCCTTTGTTATTGATCTCTATTTACCCTAAAAAAAAGTAAACTTTATTTAAAATCATAATTCACTTTTAAATAGATATTTAGGGAGATATTGAATTAAGATTTTAAAAGTTTTTTATTATAAAAAAATATTCTAGTATTCAATCAAGATTTTTTTAATATAAAAAATTATGAAATATTCCATTAAGTTAATTAAAAAAATTTAAGAGTATATTAAAATATAGTGATATTTAATTAAGACAATTTAAGATTTTTTTAAAAGTACATCAAAATTTAATAATATTCAATTAAATTAATGAAAAAAATTTAAGAGTACACCGAAATTTAATAATATTTAATAAAGATTTTTTTTCACTTAAAAAAAATCATCAATGTTTATTATAAAATTATTAAATATTTAAAATTATTTTTAAATTATTAAATATTATAAATTGTTAAGACTTTAAAATTATTAAAATTTAATAAATATATATTAATTGTATTATGTTTTAACAATTCGATCAATTAAAAAATATTATAAATCCAAATATAATATTTAAATTAATAATACAAATGAGAAAATATAAATAATCAACTATTTAATAAAATATTAGAAAATTTATTAATATTGTTATTTTATGTTATTTATATATTAATTGTATTATGTTTTAAAGAATTTATATTATTTTTTAAAATCTAATAAAATCCTTTCAAATTTTATAAATTCTTAAAATACAAATTCATTAGAATCTTATTACAAAATTCTGATTAAAATATCTTTTTAAAATGTCATAAAAATCATCAAATTCTAACAAAGATTTTAACAAGACTTTGTATTATAAAATCTTAATCCAATATATAATTTTAATACTAACAAGATATAATATTTGTTTATTTTGAAATGAACTAACAATTCAGATTAAATTCTTCCATCATTAAAAAACAAAAACAAAACAAAACAAAACAGTGCATTTAGTAGGGGGGAATCAAAAGGAAAATAGGTAAAAGAAAAATATGGTTTATTAGAGAAATAGAAGAGAAGTTGAGGGATTATACATCATTTAATTCAATGAATAATAAATAATATTTATTATGATTATTGAGGATTTTGGTATTATATTATTTTTTTTAATTATTAGTATTATTTTTAATTATTGTGATCAATTTTATTTTACTAATTATTATTATAGGGGATAGAATAAGGCTGGCCAAGTCACTACTGGTAGGGGGAGGCCACGATAATCAATTAATGGAAACTTTAGGCGAGGGTCAATCGATTATCAAAATGAATCTCAACTTCTTCATGTTTTTCTTCAATTTCATGTGGCTTTCTTTGCACTTCTTACTTCTCAGAGAACATAGTTTTAAAATTTGGATGGGTAATTATCTAACAGTTATAATGCTTCAAAAACTAAGCTTATGAAACATTTTCAAAAGCCAAAACTTAACAAATCCAAAATAACGCCCTACTTATTTCTAATTGCTGGAAACATCTCAAACACAAACGAAACCAATCGAACACTCCAAAATTCCCATCTAAGTTCCCATTCAAACAAGTTCCAGAGTAAAAACCAAAATGACACCATCAGCAAGAAACTCATTTTATAAATACCAATCAGAGATCGAAGGCTACATCAATATTGAAAATCAACAACAACAAAATAATAACAGTAATTCAAATTTCCAACATTCTATTCACAACGCTACCTGAAAAAACCCTAACTAAACTACAAAACAAAACAGTGAGATAAATCAGAATCACGATTAGCATCCATATCCAAATTCAGTAGCAGTTCGTGAAATCGAAATCGTACTCAAGAGTCGTCGTCAGCAGTAGCACCCTTCGACGATCCACCAGCCTTCTTAGGCAGCAAGAGATTGTGAATATTCGGCATCACACCGCCATTAGCGATTGTGACGTCACCGAGAAGCTTGCTCAATTCCTCGTCGTTCCTCACCGCCAATTGAATGTGACGAGGCACAATTCGCGTCTTCTTGTTATCTCTCGCAGCGTTTCCAGCCAACTCCAAAACCTAATAGCAACACCAAACGCAACACATTCGATTCAATCGCTCGAAAACAGATAATTGATTATTCTTCAAATTGAGCTTCGAAAACCTAGATCTGACGACGCGCGCGAAGAGGAAATTACCTCGGCGGCGAGATACTCGAGGACGGCGGCGAGGTAGACGGGAGCGCCGGCGCCGACGCGCTCGGCGTACTTTCCGGCCTTCAGGAACCTGGCGATGCGGCCGACGGGGAATTGGAGGCCGGCCTTGCTGCTCCGGGAGGTCGCCTTCTTGGCGGCGCTGGATCCTAGGGTTTTGCCGCGACCTGCCATGGACGTGGAACGGAAGGTTCGAGAAGCGTTGAAAGAGAGTTCCGGTGAGTGAGAAAATATGAGAAGAGAGTGAAAGTGTGTTGGGAAAGTTTGAGCGGGTGCCAGGTTTATTTAGTGGGATGGAGGAGGGGATTTTAGCCAATGAGAGGGAGTCACGCGGATCGATGATGAATGCCGTTGGATTGCGTTCTGTATGAACGGTTGAGATGTGAAGTACGGAAAATGCGAGGGAACGGAGAGCGGGAGAAGAAATAACGTAGAAGAGTGGTATTTCTTGAATTGGATTGTGTAGAAATTAATTATGCAGGTGAGTTTTATATTTTTTTTATTTTTCTATAAAAAAGTGAAGAAAATAAACAAATGGATTGTTCAAGAAATTTTTACTTAAATAATATTATTTTTTTTAAAAATTACAAAAGTATCAACTGTGCAAGTTTATTTACCAATATAGAAATCTTATTTTTTTTGTTTTTTCAACTCAGAATTCGGTTCCTGGGGAACCGAATTCTGAGTTATTTAAAAATAAAAATAAAAAATTCGTGTTTCTGGCCCATTTTGGGCAAATGTTGGAAGTGGAACGGCCCGTTCCAGAAGCAGAACGGGTCGTTCTGCTTAAAGATACAGAGTCCTTTTTTTTAAATTAAAACGAGCCCAGAACGGCCCGTTCCAGAACAAAAATTTTAACATTTTTTTGAATCTGAAACGGTCCTGGCACGGACCGTTCTGGAAGACGTTTTCAGGAAGTAGAACGTGGTTTGGAACGGGCCGTTCTGGTTTTGGAACGTCCCGTTCTGGGCAAACAGTAAAAAAATATTAATTTTTTTTTTTAAAAAAAGAAGATAATAAAGTTAAAATAATGGGATATTAAGCAATAAATAGTGAATATATTCTCTCCGACAATATAATTATCGGATAAAATTTTAACTATTCAATCAATTTTATTAAAATAATATATTTAAACAATCACTTAAGATAATATCTTGCGCTTAAAACGTACAATTATCCCTGAATTATAGGGAATATATTCTCTCCGACAATATAATTATCGGATAAAATTTTAACTATTCAATCAATTTTATTAAAATAATATATTTAAACAATCACTTAAGATAATATCTTGCGCTTAAAACGTACA